GCGAAAAGGATATCAATAGTTTCAGAAGGAATTCATGCATGTTGATGGTGTGACATTATAGATGCATTTGAAGCAAGTACTCTAACAGTGTAGTCGTCTAATGCGTACCGTAAAAACGTAGATACATCGTATTCTGTCGAAAACTAAAAGTCACATTCAGGGGAATTATGAGCAAGTATTCATGCAAACCTCGAACATCGCTACACAATGCAAAAGCAGCACACTTTTGCAATACGAGCCATGCATATACTGTATAAAAGTGCCTTAACATGAGCACTTTCACTTTCGTTCGACAGAAAAGCCGATAGGAATGGCACATCTCATGATAGTTCAAACGTTACGGCTTACGGGTGACGTTAACACAAAAAAACTGTGATACAGGAAGAATATAATCTAATTCAACGTTTTCACAACCTTTGCCCCACTTCTAGAATAACAATTCGAAGACCAGTGACATGGTCCGGCCATTCCAAACTGATGTCTTCCGCATTAATGCAGGCTGAATGACGATTTGAGGTTATCCGTCTTCAGTCATCATATGAGGTTCAATTCTCAAGATCACCCTCAAATTCCGTTTCCGAAACCGTAGCCGATGCTGTTCCTTACTTCCTTCCATCAAGTCTTTTCTCTCTCACTGCCCAAAAAATGAAGCTAAGTGCACAGTACAATTAAAGAACGCGGTAATCCGTACCCCAGAAGGCAAATCCGCGGCGCGCGTTCCCGAGATTACCGCGATCTTATCCATCAAGCGCGTTTTGCTCCTATCTCAGCGTGGCAGTTGGCGCAGGATGGGAATTTCGATCCCACTCCAGGCTGTGATGGGATGAAAAGGGTACAAAAAGATACCCAGGTTCACCAGCACCAGGCTTGAAAATCGAGCCCTCGTGCCGCAGGGACTAGAAATTCTGCGCTCACGCCTCCCGGAATTCTTCATCAACACCGCAATCACGAATGCCCCCTGGTGATTCGGTACAGGAGGCAGCAAAACTGGGGCTGTTCCTAAACTTGGGTGGGTTTAGTGGACGTTGAATTGACGCCAATACAATAGTACATTTTCAGAAATACGCGGTGTCCACATAATATATGGAGATATTCTTTTAAAACTTCAAATTTTAATGAGGGTGATCAGAGAAGATCATCATTCACAAACTCATATATGGATGCTAAGGGTTTTAGTCCCTCAGCTGTATTGCACTCAAAAGCAACAGTAATTAAGATGAGTCATGGGTCCATTCTTGAGTCATCCGTAGGCATTCTGTGCTATTTCCCTTCAGAAAAACAAATTGCGATTTTCATGTCTTGGAAAACTAATGTATTTCTAGAGAATAAGTGAGATTACACTGAAGCTATTCGATTTATACTGTATAGATCTGCTCTTACACAGGCCAAATCATCACTTGATCCTAGGCCTTTTTTCATAAAATAAAAAATAAATACTGTACGGCACAAGCTTCACCATTGGGTTCATAAAACGACTGCAAATATGCACAAATGAGAAAATTTAAACATTTGAACTTGATAGAATAAAAAATCATCCGAATACAGTATGCGTTTCACAATGTTCATTTTGAAAATTGTTTTGAAAAAAAAATTAAAGACGATTACAGGCATACCGCGATACATAACAGTATATACAATATTTAAAATTTCGTAATCAACCTTTTTTCAAATTTTCAAATAATAGAATTGTCAAAATGCATGTGTGTCAGAAAGAATTTTGCAAAATCAACTGGAATTCGCAACCTGATCACTTTCTGAACAGACCCTTCCCAGCATGTCTGCATACATGCGATGAGTTGGTACTTCTTTTGGTGCTTCTGAACATCAAAAGACCATGCAGAAGGAAAAAAACAGTAATTTGCCCCCGGCTGGGGTTCAAGCCGTTTCTCTATTCTGGCATGCTTATTATTTGGTACTATACATGATGTAAGAGCGCGGGGAGAAATCCCATAGGAAAAGCCGCCGTCATGCTACTGCTGTATCTTATCCTCAGTTGTACAGATCATGGATCTTGATTGAAACAGAGGAAATGAAAAGTTAATGCATCGAGTCTGCTTCAAAACGTGCTAGCTCTGCCAGCAGATGCAATTCAGCCTTTGATTTTCAAAAAATATTATCAATTTAATTAGTTCTTCAAGTACTTCTGAAGAGCATTCCTTCAAAACATATTATAAAGATTTAAAAAAGTATAAAAAGAGGCTCTCAATTTATTACAGTATGCTATTTGATGATGTACTGTATGTTAATTACTCTGCATGTGTTTTAACCCCATGGACGAAACAAGTCCTGAGTTGTTCATTTTGATTTGCATATTTTCCTTCACTGATCAGCCACTATCTTTTTTCATGGATCAATAATAGATTACCACTCATTCAAAAGTACAGTATGCGCAAAAGTACAATATTTTCCCAGCACTATACTCAACACATATGTACAATAAATAATTGTCTGGAAATTTTGATTGCATACATTTTGACACGTAAGTTCTTTACATAAAGTATATACACATAAACAGGTGGACCTCCACAACTAAAAAATTCAGGGGACCAAACAAATTTTTTGTAGAAAACATTTTGTTGTAGAGAACTCCTATAACATGGGGAGAGTACCAACTGGGACTACAGAAAAATGTGTCCCAAAGATGAGAAAATCATTTTAGACAAGTTTGTGGTAGAAAAAATTTTCATCATCTAAATACAGTATAAATATGAGTACCTGCATAAATCAATATACAATATATATATATATACTGTACTGTATATATAAATACTGTATACATATTGAACTTGGCTGACAGAATGCATAGCACTTAAAAATATACTGTTTTTTTTTTAATATACTGTTAATATATATATATATATTGTACTTGATATGTTCTGCTGGGTATGCATAGAACTGACGCACTGGTCGAATAGATGGCACTCAAATGTGATCCTAGTACTCCTAGGTCAGTGTGATACTTCCTTCTTGGCTCCATTTTAATGGGTCACGGGGTTCCATTACTGCGCTTAACT